ATCTAAAGTGATTAAAATTAAAGAAAAAATGAAATATTTTAATAATAAATAAAATGAGGAAAGAGTCAATTGAGTACATCAATTTGTATAAGGTAGAGTAAAGAGTACACTATATTGCATTTGACATTCTTAAGTACATAAACTCGGTTATTTAGTGTTAATTGAGTACACTTGTTAGAGTAACATGTTAATGGTTGAGTTAGCTAACAGAATGTTGAGTAAGAAGAGGTAATGGACCAAGGTTATGATGCCGACCTTCATGAAGTCAACCAAAAAGGGAAAATCGACGTTCAGAGGTCGACCTGCGGATGCGTCGGCCAGCAGGGGTGCATCGACCAAGAGGAAGTCAACGCGCAGGGGATTGACGTCGACCAAGCGGAAGTCTATAAAGGTGCTTGGGGCTGACATCGACCATCAGGAAGTCAACCTATTAGCATTCTGTTAGCTAACTCAACCGTGTTAACATGTTAATCTAATGAGTGTACTCAATTAACACTAAAACTCCGAGTTTGTGTACTTAAAAAGATCAAACGCATTGTAGGACACTCTTTACTCCACCTCATACAATTTGATGTACTCAATTGACCCTTTCCTCTAAATAAAATCAAACCTAATTGAATTATTTTTAAGTAAAATATGTTTAATTGTAAAAAGTTGTAAATAATTGATCCTAAAAGGGTGTTACACAATTTATGAACAAACTATGAAACTAACCGATCCTTGTCAATAATAAGATTATTATTAGTAAACAAAATTTACATATTTAGAAACTACAATAAAAAATTTATAAAGTCACAAAAAATCAAATTTGATAACAGTTAAATATATAAAGAAATTAAATGAAAAGAGATAATTAAATGAAGGTATTTTTGGAAGAAAATTAAATCACTCCGGTAATGTGAGATATCCTAAGGCATGGATGGCTTTAACATTCCCCTCCATATTACATTCCCGAGAATGTAACTTTCTTGATTTTTTCAAATCTGTGGACCAAACAAGGGTATCTAACATTTCGTACGTCAAATTCCGGCCTTCATGTGAGATCACCCCCAACCAAGCGGGCCCTAAAAGTATATGAAATAAGATGAATAAGTTGATTTTGTGCAAATAATGAAAACAAATTGATATAAAAAGGTAGAGAAAAAGAGGATGAGGAAGGAAAGAGAAGGATGAAGAAGATAATTTTTTTCTTGTTGAGAAATTTAGAAGAGATTGGGTAAAGAGGAAGGAGGTGTTTGACAATCGGTTGTTAGCTGTTGGCCTATTCTTTTAGCTGATTGATGACAACGGATTCTATTGGCTGTTTTGATCAGCTTATAGTATTAACAATTTATAAAATAGTGTTTGGTTAAATAGTTGTTTACAACCAGCTAATTGCTTGTTAAATGACATTTAAGGACTTCAATTAATTTTTTTTATTGTGATTAGTACCACTACTGAAATCCTTTTTAGGGAGTATGATTTAAAAATGTAAACTTTATTATAATGACTAATACTTATTTCCAACATTGTTTTTTATTTAATATTAATATATACGGAGTATATACTTCATAATCAATACAGAAATACTTCGTATATATGAACAGAGTTTGAACTATGAAGCCTCTCGAATAAGGGTCAAGCTCTTCATCTTGCTCTTTCGTTTCCAAAATAAAATACTCCCTCCGTCCCTTTTTATTTAGCCAAACACTATTTTTCATGTCAAAGTTGTTCAACTTTTACATGAATATATCAGTTAAAATAATGGATCAACGTTTATCATTTTTGACTGGAAAAGTCAAAGTTGGTTAAATAAAAAGGGACGAGGTAGTAGGATCTAAGAGATTGCTAGTTGAATGTTACAACACCACAACTCCTGTAGTTTTAATTATAAGATGAGAAAAGAAAAATAGTAAAGCTGGGAAAATAGTGGCAATCAAAACCGTACTATATTAAACTTTGCTCCCTTGTTTCTTTACTCTAAAAAAAAGGATGACCCCTCATCCCTGAGGGGCCCAACACCGATCGGACGGCACGATGGGAGAATGTAAATTGAACTATAATCACAATCTGACAGATAGAGAGTGAGGCTCTGTCCCCGGTACTTGCAGGCCCTATGCATTTTTAGCACAGTAACCTCTCATCGCAGTTGCGGGGATTCGAACCCGGGACCTAACACTTGTGGCACTCCCTCGCTACCAGTTGAGCTACGCCCACCGGTTTGTTTCTTTACTCTTCAACGGAAGATTTTTTTTTTCTTTTTTGGGCTGAAGAGTTTTCTGTGGCAGGGAGGATACGTGGGGGTATTAGATGGAAGATATGCAAAAGCCAACGGGAAACGCTGGGTTGAGTAGCTTTTCGGATTTCGGCTGTTTTGTACAAAAAGCCAATTCAAATAACTATTTAACCAAACACTTTTATTGGCTGAATATAGTTAGCCAAATATAGTCAAATCAACCAAAAAATGGTTGATAGACTCCTAACCAAACACCCTGAAAGAGAGAGGGGAAGAGCGAAGGGAGAGAGAATCGGGAGAGGGAGAAGAGGGAGGAGGGGAAATGAGATTTTGTTGTTTGCTTTTATACCATGTACAACGTGTGTACATGGTGTGTATATTAAGCATTTTCCTTGAGAAGATATCTATTTTATATGTAAGAAAACAAATAGCTCATGAAAAGTCAATTCTACCCTTAAATAATCCTACATGTCCTCCCCACAATTCTCTCCTTTATCATGCACACATGTCAAATTGAAGGTTAATACGGCACAATCAACACAACAAAGGAATAACACTATTTAGGCACAATAAACTCTAAAAAAACGTGTCATCAATTGAGGGCCTAATGTACAAAAAACACTATTTTCTTCAAAGTGTTATGACTTTTTCATTGTTTCTCTAAAATATACCAAAATTCATAATTTTATACGAGCTTTTATATGACATCAATATTGGATATATAAAATTAGAAATATGACTTATTCATTTTTAATGATCACAATAATGTTTAAAACTATATCAAAGTGACTAGAAAGAAAAACCTCTCAAATGAATAATGTGGATAAAAGTGTAACTAAATTGGCTATGAGTACACTTTTATAGTCCCTTTGATATAAAATACAAACTTGATTATAATTCTCAAAAGTTAATAATTTACATTTTTATCCACTACCCATATTTTGGTCATAATTATGAATTATTTATTTATTTAATATGAAGTCATCCATATCGAAATTGGAAAATACAAAGTTGTTTAATGAATCTTATTTAGTTATTTATTTACATTTTTATTCACTATCCATATTTTGTCATAATTATGAATTATTTATTTAATTAATACGAAATAATCCATATGCAATATTGATGTTATATGAAATACCAGAAATATTTATGAATTTTAATATATATTTTGTATATCATGTATTGGATTGTATAATAATCAAAATGAATAAGGTTGAAGTTATTTTTCTGCCTGAATTTACTAAAGTTACTATAGAGGACATTTTACTTACTTTTCATACGGAGTATAATTTTCTTTATTTTATTAATAAAATATATTTTAAAAACCAATTTTTTCATAGTTCAGCGAGAACTTCGTTAAATTTTGATAGAATCTTACAATTTCAGTTTTACCAAACGAACTCTAAATAAATTCTAAATGAATAAGGTGTCCAATATATGTTAGTATTGTCAATGTAAAATAGATCGATCCATGAAAGAAGCACTGTATTAGATTACCAATCAGAATAAGAAGCCAAATTAAACCGAATTTAGAAAAATGAAGATATACTTGTGAATCAAAAGGTCACACTATTCATAATAAGAAACCTGCATAACATAAGTTCTTGCAATTGAAACGGAATTATATAATTAAGTAATGAAGATGTGAAAGACAAGAAAATAAAATTGTTAATGGGTGAATCAACAATTGTGGAAGATGTGGAAGAATTTTCTCTCTCATTTATTAAGCTTTTAGGTGTAAGATAAGCCAGCTAACCCTAATATTTGAGAGGAATAATATTTTCTCTCATTGTAGTGCTTTTAAGTATAAGATAATTAAGGATGGTAACAATATAATTGAGCGAGATAATTTTCTCTATCATATATATTGCTATTAGGTACTACTTCCGTCTCATTAGAAGGTTCTCGTCCACTATTCATATGGTCAACTTAAATCATTTTTAATCTTTTGCTTTATATATCAAATTTTTATCAAAATTTACATTTTTTATCAGGCTCTGTAGTGGTTTTAATGTAGTTTCTGAACAGGGATGAAGTTGCTTTATCGCTAGTCAAGCATCGTAAACCGTAATGGGAACCTTCTAGCGGGACGGGAACCTTACCGTAACGTAATCCGCCTAACAATTGAGCGGAAGAATTTTCTCTATCATATAAAGTGCTTTTGGGTATAAGATAATTCGGCTAAAAATTGAGCGAAAAATTTCTCTCTCTCATATTTAGTGCTTTTAACTATTACTACGGAGTAGAAGATAAGCTTGCTAACCATTGAGCGGGGGGGACTTTCTCTCTTATATGTAATTATTTATGTATAAGACATAAGACAAACCGGCTAATAATTGAGCAGGGGGATTTTATCTCTCACATGTAGTGATTTTAGATATAAGAAGATACGCTTGCTAATAATTGAGAGGTATAGTTTTCTCTCTCATATGTAGTGCTTCTAGGTATTAGAAGATAAACTTGCTAAGAATTTAACGGGAGAATTTTCTCTCACATGTAGTGCTTTTAGGTATTAGCAGATAAGTTTCCTAACAATTGAGCGTGGGAACTTTCCCTCTCGTATGTAGTTATTTTAAGTATAAGATAAGCCGACTAAGGATGTTTTTACTTGGACTGTAATTTGCCCCAGACCAGACCAGACCGGTCCAGACCAGACCAATTCAGACCAGACCAGACCAGACCAGACTTGGATAGTAATAAAAATACAAAGAAACCAGACCTTATCAGACCAGACCAGACCAGTTCAGACCAGACCAGACCAGACCAGACCAGATCAGACCAGACCACACCAGACCAGCAAATTACAGTCCAAGTAAAAACATCCTAACAATTGAGTGGAAGATTTTTTTTGAGAGAATTTTGACTTTCATATGTAGTGCTCTTAGTTACTAGATGAACCGGCTAATAATTGAGCCGGAGAGTTTTTTCTCTCATATGTAGTGGTTTTGGAGATGAGAAGATAAGTTTGCTAACATATGACTGGGAAAATTCTCTCTCATATGTAGTGCTTTTAGATATTATTACAAGATAAATTTACTAACAATTGATCGGGATAATTTTCTTTCTCATATGTAGTTTTTTTAAGTATTTCGTATAAGATAGGTCCGCTGACAATTGAGCGTGATAGTTTTCTCTCCCATATGTAGTACTTTTAGATTTATGAAAAACTAGACGAAGTACCCGTGCGATGCACGGGATACATCTAGATTAGAAGAACGATTTGTTTAAATATTTCATTTTATTTTGATGGTATGTAATGTGTGATTTGTTAGTTTTTTATTTTTTGGAAAAGTGTGATTTGTTAGATAGAAAAGATAGTACTTCGTAGATTTTATTGTACCTTTGATATGTAGTTTGTATGGAAAAGAAAATTGTAAATCATATAAAAAATAACCTTTTCCTTTGACTACAGTTCAAAAGCTGGTAAATCTCAGGTTTGTGTTGTCATCATATTTCATTTTTTGATTTTTTTTGGTACATTTAGAATGCATCACACCTAATTTATCATTTATTTATGAATTATGAAATGTAAATTGCAGGGAAAATGATGTAATTGAAACTATTTCACTTCAAGTTACAACAAATTGACTATATTTTCGTTTATGAGGAATATAAAACTATATTATTGACTCAATGCAATGAATTGTAATTAAAACAATAAAAAGGACCAAAAATAACATACTTTGGCTATGTTTGGGATACCAATTTAGCTAATAATTAGTTGAAATTGCTTAAATTCAGTCAAGTGCTAAAAAATAATAGTGTTTGGGTGGAGGGCTGAATTACAGCTAGAAATTCTTAGATATTTGTTTCTTTTTATAGTTAATCACTTCCACATTGCTTGAAAATGGTATTATCGTGGCTTAAGAAGAAATTCAGAGTAATCCTGCATACTTTACACACTCCTACATTCTACAAATTATAATGACCTGCTTATAAGACCAACCAACTATAATAAAAAAAATGGAGAAACATTATTTGAAGTCATAAAGGTCATAGTAGTCCCCGTTTTAGAATCTCGTTTTAGAAACATTAGAATGCCTGGACCATTTCATATGTCCTAATGTATTTTAATACTCCGTATATATTAAATACACAATGGTGGAGTGAGGGCCCTAGATTGGACGGGGCCGGGGTTCCCCCAGCTATGTCCCTTGTTGATCACTTGTTTTATTAAGGGATAAGGGTCAGATAGGGCCTCGAACTCGAAAAAAAATGTCAAATAAGGTCATATTTCGGATGCTCTGTCTGGCCGACGCCATTTGGGGCGGTTCCCGATGGAATTTTTTGATAAAATTTTTTGAGCATCTTCCTCATTAAGTCTAGTTTACCCATACCAAATTTCAGCTAAAAACTCAACCGGGAAGGTAGTCAAATGAGTTTTTGAAGATAACTGTGAAGTTAAACAACGCCGTACATTTCGGAAAATTATTTGACTACCTTCCCGGTTGAATTTTTAGCTGAAATTTGGTATGGGTAAACTAGACTTAATGAGGAAGATGCTCAAAAAATTTCATCAAAAAATTCCATCGGGAACCGCCCCAAATGGCGTCGGCCAGACAGAGCATCCGAAATATGACCTTATTTGACATTTTTTTTCGAGTTCGAGGCCCTATCTGACCCTTATCCCTTTTATTAATAAATTATTTGTCTTTTAATGTAATTTCATATTATCTCGACATTTTTTCACATATTTTTGCCAAACAGTGTACTTCATCCAGCTACCTGTTCAGATCCAACACTTCACAATTTAGTTTCAAACAATAATCTTTAATTAAACATTACAATGAAAAAAATCATATTGCAACTTCAGATCCCAACTTTCTTAACTTTCTTATTTTTATAGCAATATTAATTAAGGAGAAAGAATAGCATTTTCACACCAATTCAACACACTTTGTTTCAACATAGAAGATTATTCCATGTTTGCCCCAATTAATAAAATGTAAGGATCAATGCTAGATATAATTAAATAACCTGTATTAATATATAAAGTCACTATTTATTTATGAAGATTGTTAAGATGTACTCCATATCATATATATTTAGTACTACAAAAAACAGATTGTATTCAATATTTCAAAAATGAAAAAACGAACATGCATAAAGCAATGTAATCACCTGATGCAAAAATATAATATAGCAATTTGACTAATGGGGTGCAATTTCAAAAAAAAAAGTGCTAAATTTTATAATTTCACAATAATATATATATAATTATTCAATTATGTTATATTTATAGTGCTATTCAATTCAATTACCCTAGTAGAGCATAAATGAGTTTAAACCCAATGGACATTCTTTTGTGACTAACAAATTTTGATCTGCTTTTGGTGATTTTCCATTTGTGATTTTATGTTGTATAAATTCTAAAGTTGGTACTTGAATGCTTTATTTTATAGGCTATTTTGTACGGAGATTCATTTATGTGCCAATCTACACGGTCTATCTACTCTAATTATAATTCTCCTAATATTAGAGTATCTTCAATGCTACATGGTGCACATGTGGCATGAGAGAGATAAAAACAAAATAATATTGATTTTATGACATTTCTCTCTCCTTCTTTCCACGCTCTTATGTGATTTTAGTAAGTTATTGCCTGTAATGTCAATCACAATGTCTACATCTAGACATTGTGTTTGACATTGTGAAGAAAATTTACCAAAATGATGTAAGATCGTTCAAATAAGGAGATTAATATTCTATTTATTGTTTTTTAATTGGTTATTTCTCATACAACATATGCACCGTTAATGTTTTAACATTGGGGATGCTCTTACTTCTAAAAATTGATGCACAAAAAAGTATTTAGTAACTTTTAGTGATTATAACTGTATTCAAAGTTTACGTCGTAACGACCACATGTAGTCACTACGATGTAAATTTTGAACACAATTAGAGTCACAAAAAGTTACGTAGTACTAAGTCCAAAGTCCACATTTTTTTATTAGTAACATTTTAGAAAAAACTCATATTTTAATCTCCTCATACTTATACATTGTTACATTTTTTAGTTCTCTAAAATGACTCTACTATATATAAAAGTTCTAATTAATTGTTTCTTCTTACTAATGAACGCAGTGGCGGACCCAGAGGTTTGTGAGAGCGGGGGCACACTAGACACTAAAGTTAGTCTATAATAATAACTCCAAATGTAATAAAAATGGTAAAAAAAAATGCACGTAATATTAAATTATACAGAATAGTTAATTACATATTAAATATTTCAGTGCTGCAACTTTGGTAAATCAAGCCCACGAATTTTCATATTCTGAAAATGTTGCATAATAGTTTCATTATCGATGCTTCTAAAAACATCTCTCTCGATGTAGCACACCAAACAATTCGTAAGATAGTCATCTCCTATCATATTGCGAAGATCTGTCTTGATTGTCAACAATTTTAATTTTTAAAATAATCCCCCAACTAAAAAGCAGGTGTCGTCAATGCAGAATAAATTGAAAATAAACTTACAAATCAAGGAAATATGGGAGGATTGAGTGGTGTAGGTGTGCGGCGGTGCAACATCAATTCAGATAGACAACGAAGTCCCCAGAGGCCAGAGCCAAGGCAGCGACATCCCCTAAAGTCGTAATTCGTAAACCGTCCGCGTGATTTTTTTCATTCTAGTCTTCCAAATGTTAGTGGGTTTTTAGACTTTTATCACTCCGTAGTTTTAGTTGCCCGCACATTGGCTACTCTTTTGCATTTTAACTTTTTTTTGTTACTTTTTGTTTTCAATTCTTAATTATTTTTTTGTTTTTTGATAATTCTATATCTTTTATTTTAATTCAGCTAAAATTTAAATGCTTTGTATTAATTTTTTATTTATACTCCCTCCGTCCCGGGGAGAAGTTCCCGGGTTGACTTTCACACATTTTTAGGAAATAAAGTTACTGAGGGGTAAATTTTACTATTTTGCACTGTTTCGACACTGTTTGGCACTGTTTCGACACTGTTTGGCACTGTTTTAATGTAGGATAACTTTCCATTTAGGGAAATGGGAAGTTTCTTTTGGGACATCCAAATAAGGAAATTGGGAACTTCTCCCCGGGACGGAGGGAGTATAACCGTAACATTTTAGTATCTTAATTATCAAATACTGGTATGAAGCCGAGGCACCGGTTTTTATCCTAAGTACTACTACTGAAATTCCGGGCTCAAACCGGGGGCACGTGCCCCACCTAGCCCCCCTTAGGTCCTCCACTGAATGAACGAATTCGAATATACTAACATCATACTTGGTATTCTTCTCCATTCATTATATTTTATAATGGTTAGACATACGTACGAAGTATTATATATGTTAATAGTAGTAGAGAATTTATCCAAAATAGGACTAAAAAGGTTTGAAAATTCCAAAATAGGACTGACATATTTTTATTCCCAAAATAGGACTAATTACTGCCATGTTTTGGCAGTACCAGACTTCAAACATGACAGTATTTTCCAAACTTGGCAGTAATTATTCCTATTTTGGGAATAAAAAAACATGACAGTCCTATTTTGGAATTTTCAAGTTGTTTTAGTCCTATTTCGGGAACTTTCCCATAGTAGTATTGATGGATAGTCTACCCGGGGGGTATCTTATCCGAGGGGTTATTACGGGAATAACTTAGAGAGAAGTCAGAGCAAATAGGAGGAGAGAGAGTCAATTTATTAAATGAACTCGAGATGTGGAGTTGAGATGTAGATGATCATTTACAAGGAGAAATGGGCTGCTATTTATAGCAGCAATAAATGCGATGAGAGGACACGTGTCAGTAATCCAACGGCCGAAGGGTCACATCAGCCTGGTGGCACCGGCAGTGGTACGTCAACCGCATTGAATGCGGTTGGCGGATGTGATGTGGCATTAAATGCGGTGGTTGGCTGTCCCTAAAAGGAATCTTCGATGATTGAGCTAGTTTAGCCGAGGGCTCCTTATGTAGCCGAGGGCTCCTTGTGTAGCCGAGGGCTCTTTGTGTAGCCGAGGGCTCCTTGCGGCAAGGACCATTGTGTGGCCGAAGGCCCCATGTGGCCGAAGGCTTGGTTCAGCCGAAGGCTTCTCCGATGCCGAGGGCGCAACAATGCCGAAGGCTCATGTTTTCGCCCGTTTTCTCCCAGCAGCTTCTTATGCCAAAAAGGCTATCCTGTGAGTTCTAGAGCCTTCGGCCAAGGAGGCCGAAGGCATCCCAGTGTGTACTCTGAGCTACTTTGAGGCTTGGGCCGTTGTATTTGGGCCTGAGTTGTTTCCTGGGCTTAATGGACTTGTGTAGGAGAAGTAGGAGTCTATGGGCCGGGGGTTCCTGGACCATATACTCCATCAGGAGTCCCTCACTCCTTTTGCCGAAAGGTACTTGAGGGAAAAGGAGTAAATGGGTTGCTTCTTCTGGAGGCTTCATCATTTCGCTGGGTGCCTTTGCTGGGGAACTTGTCTTCTGCTGACTGCCGAAGGCTTCCCTCAGTCCCTCACATGTCGAGGGTTTTCTGAGGGAAGGTATTCGTAACCTTTGCATGTTCGCCGGGGGCTCCCCTCAGTCCCTCACATGTCGAGGGCTTTCTGAGGGCAGTATAACACCTGTATGACTGCAGAAGGCTTTCCTCAGTCCCTCACATGTCGAGGGTTTTCTGGGGAAAGCATAGATGTATTGCCTGCATGTGTTGTGATGAGGGCTGCTTCACTTCCGCAAGTGACTCGTGGAAAACTTGTGATATCCTGCTTCTGCCGAAGGGTATATTGCAGTATGTGCCCGAGGGTTTTTATTCTGATGCTCGCCCGGAGGCTATATACGTCACCTGTAGATTTCTCCCTTGAGGAATTTTTGTATTTTGTTCTGCTGTGATGCCCGAGGGGTGTATCCCAGTCCCCCACTCCTTTAGGCCGAAGGCGAGTTCGGGCTGAAGGAGTTATGATGAGTTGATGAGCCCCCGAGGGGTGGTAACATTGATAAGCCGAAGGCTTATGCTGCTACGGGCTCGAGGGCGTTTTGGTGGAATTCGTTGCCCGAAGGCTGCGGTGAGTGATAACCGGAGGCTTATATTGCAGTTTGCCTGAGGGTACTTGGTGATATGTGTTCACCGAAGGCTTCATTAGTAATAGCCGGAGGCTATCGTCAATGGTTGCCTCAAGAGGTTCTAAAATAGAGCCGTTGTGACATAGCCGTTGGAGGTGGGAGCCACGTGGCGTGCTCTAGTTGGCCGAAGGTGGGCGGGGTACCACCCATTGGCTGAACCGGCGGCCCGTAATGATGGCCTTTTCAAATCGAGGCCCAGTTCTCGAGGCTGAAGGCCTATAAATACCCCAAGGCGGAGCTGAGTTCCCTTATGCGTTTTTATGCGATAGCGAAGCTCTGCCAAAATTTCTAGAGAGAGAAAGTCCTTGCTTCGATCAAACCCCATTTCTAAGGTCAGTTCTTCTTCTGTTCTTCGCCTACTTAGTAAGTTTTGCTTCGTAGCCTTAGATCTACTGTTAGGGCCTGTAATAGCCTTCGGCTAGAATTCCTGATTAGTATCTTCTCTTCAAACCCTCCAACACCTTCTTTGGGTAAGATGTCTTCTCAAAGCGATTCGCAAGACATTTCGAGGGAGCCGTCGGTAGGGACCGCGAGCCATTCTGAGGTGGAGTCATCGAGCGACCAGCCCTCGACGAAGAATGACCTCGCCATAGCCGAGGAGGTGCAGAGCAACCTTCGGGTAGAAATGGAGGCAGAAGAATTTGAACAAGTGGCGGAGGATGAAGAGATGGCCATCGCCCTCCAAGTGGCTGAAGAGGAGGAGGAGAAGGAGCGCCGCCGGGTAACGGTTGCCGTCATGCCCTCACGGGGAGCTGGTGAGGCGAGCACCTCTCGGCCGTTGGATGTTCAACCCCTCCGGGTAGCCGAGGGCAGGAAGAAGAAGAAGGCGAGGGCTGCCCCAAAGAAGAAGCAGGCAGCCGTCGACGCGGGACGGCCAGTTGGGATTCCCGAGGGCCACTCCTATCTGGACACCACTGCCCTCGAGGTGAAGACCACGGTCTCGAGTGCCGAGTGTCATGCCCTGCAGGTCCTTGTGGGACCGTCGGCGCAGGTTGTGGAGCCGAGTCCGGAAGATTTGCTGTCTAACCCCCCGGAGGGGTGTTTCTCGGTGCACACTTTGTCCGTGGAGCTAGGGCTTAGGTTCCCCCTACATCCTTTCGTCTTGCAGTATCTGAAATTTGTGAAGCTAGCCCCATGCCAGCTCACGCCGAACAACCATTATTACTTGGCAGGCTTCCTGGCCCTCTGTCGTAGCCGGAAGGTGGAAGCGACACTGGACCAGTTCTTCCTATCCTTTAATCTGTGCCGGGGAGGCCACTCACACGCCGGGGGATATGCCAACTTGCAACAGGTCCCGACTTGGAAATTGTTCTCCGAGACCCCCTCCTCCCATAAGGAATGGAAGGAGAAGTTCTGCTACATCAGGCTGGCTGAAAATCCATTCCCGAGGGCTTTGAATAATCATTTCAAAAGGCACCCGAAGGTAGGTAATGCGGCCCTCGATAAGGCAGGAAGGAAACTGATTGAGAAGCCCGCGGGTTCTGAGAAAGTAATTGCTATTAAGGAAGCGACGCTGCCCGAGGAGCTCTACCTGTTAGGATTCCGAAGATACCGTCTTCCGGGGGAAAAGGACGAAAAATACCCTAGAATCGATCGAGGGTATCTGAATGTCAGAGGTTGTTCACCGAGGGCTCTTGTTGTGTTACTTAGAAAATTTTCCTTGTCTTCTTTTGACCCTAATCCTTCCTTCATTTTTTGCAGGTGACATAATGGACGTCCAAGCCTTCGCCCGATTGACAAAGAAGCTGGCCAAGGTGCCGAAGAAGAAGAAAGACGAGGGGTCCTCGAACCAGCCCCTCGTTGATGAGGCGTTGAAGAAAGCAGGGGCCGCCAAGGTCCCGGAGGGTGGGGACCCCTCCCAAAAACCCGCTGCTGATTCCGGTGCTTGTGTCGGAGGCTCCCAAGACGGGGAGCTAAAGAGAAAAAATGCTGGGAAGGGGGTCATGCCCCCGGAGAAGAAGAAGAAGAGGGGGGGGGGGGGGGAGAAGACGGACGCCCCCGTTGTCATCGTCGAAGAGCACTCTTCCTCCTCCCCTTCGGGAAATGTCCTCCCTCCTCCCGGGGGCCAAGATAACAGCCTGGCTTGGCCCCGGGATGATGTGCAGTTCTCTATCACCAAGGGAACTGCCATCATGCATGGCACCCTCAACCCGAGGGAGTTCCTAAAGGGTGCCACGCCCCCGACTGACAAGTCGGTGCTGTCGAGGGCCAAGGATGACGCCCTCAGCGCCAAAGTGCTCCAAGCCTCTGTCACCGTAAGTCTCGCTTAGCTTTTGTTTAGTTGGTGATTTTGGCGTATACATTTTTTTTTTTACTTTGCCAAACTGATCATTGTTGTATGATGGTTTTGATCCGCAGGCTGCCCTCGGTCTTGGAGAGCTGCTCCAGAGGATGGAGCAATATCAGGCGCAGAAGCGCCAGGCTGATGAGGCCCTGGCGGAGTCCCGGCGGCAACTTCAAGAAGCCCAAGAGACCCTCCGGCTGGAGAAGATGGCGTTCAATAGCATTCTCGAAAATAACAAAGTGATCGCCAGAGCCGAGGGGAAGGCCGACGCAGAGAGGGCCGCTGCCGAAGCCGCCAAGATTGCCGCCGAGGAGGCCGAGGCAGCCAAGAAGGAAGCTGTCGCCGAGGCTGAGAAGAATGCCGTCGCCGCCTTTGCCGCTGAGGGCTGGAGGGCCGAGGACCGGAAAGGATGGGTGGCCTCGGTCATAGAGCAGGGGGTGGAGGCCTGGGTGAAAGGTCCTGGCGCTGAATGGTTAGCCCGAAAGGGCAAAGACTATTATGATGGTGGCGAGTTTTTTACTCAAAACCTTATCTACCGGAGGCTCGCCAGGCACCTCAAGATTGATCCGAAGAAATTTGACCCGTCGGCGTATGGCCTCCCCCCACTGCAGCCTGATGTGAGAGTCCCACTCCCCGAGGGCGTAGAGAGGCCAGACTTGGAGGATTCTGAGCTCATGCAAGAGGGGGGCGACGAGGAGGCCGAGGATGATGCCGCTTCAAGGCCGAAGGAAGATGCAGCTGAGGAAGCTCAAAAATAGGATTTGTTCTAAGTGTAACTTTGTAACAGCCCGTTCTTCTCGGCCTCGGCCATGTATTGTAATTAAGACATGTTTTGTCCTTTGAATATTTGTTTTCTCCATGGTGAATGCTTTGCCTCCGGGCTTTTCTGGAATGAATTGCTTCCTCTTCGTTTTGAATTTGAATGCATGCCTTTGCCTTTTTTCCTTCTCGAATGAGTGAATGTTTGTGGACTTAGAAAATTTCCTAAGTGTCGGAGTAGTCAGAAGCCTTCGGTTGTAGGTAAAATCACCGGGGGCTTGTGATTGTGGACTTAGAAAAATTTCCAAGTAAACTCGATCAGAACCCTTCGGAATTAGACTCAGGAAATTCTTGAGGCGCAATTGTATCTTATGCCCCCGGACACACCGAGCCTTCGTCTCGTAGTGTAGCTTTAGGTCATTGCCAAGTAGGTTGGAGGGGGCCGTCGGCTGTGAGAAAGTTGGTGCAGAGAGTATCTCGGTTTGCCCCCGAAGGGCCCCCAATTGTGGACTTAGTCATTTTTCAACCAAGTTTCAATAAATGTTGTAGTGATCCTTCGATCGAGGGGATTGTTTGAGCCCCCTGTTCATATAGTTGTCGAGGGGTTCAAGGTTATGGACTCACGTGTAGGCCTTGGTTTGTAGCATAGAATCAGGACCCCTCGGACATTCGTAGTAGTGAGGCCGAGGGATAGAATGAATTAGACTTAGGAATTCCACTAGGTGAAATTGCATCCTATGCCCCTGGAAATGCTGGGCCCTTGATTGGCAATGTAGCCCCCCGAAGGGTTCCCATCTGTGGACTTAGAAATTTTTTCATCCTCAAATGAGTCTGGCGATGTTCTGCCTTCGGCATGAAGCCTCCGGTTTGTGTAGACATTGGTTTAGCCTGCTTTAGGACTTTGTGTAGCCTTCGGCATGTTACATGGTTCACTTTGATCCAGCCGAAATCTTCTTGGGCCTCCGGTGGAAATCTTGTACTCCAAGGTTTCATGCAATGAAGCCTTCGGGTATGTAGCCAGACGACTTATTGTTGCGAGACTTTCTTGTGCCTTTGTAGGAGCCTTCGGGAAAGTATATCCGAAGTGTTGAGCCTCCGGGGAGAATAGTATCCGGGGAGTTCCTTCCCCCCTACACATCTTTTTTTTTTTTTTTTTTTTCTTTTTTTTTTTCTTTTTTTTTTTAAGATGGTGTAGGAGAGGCATCTAGAAACTCGGTTTGTAGGGAAGGCTTGGCCTATATGGGAGGCCACGGAACAAACCGTTGGCTCCCCCTTCGGGAATGACCTTCCGATATCCCGAAGGGTTTGAGGGTCGTTTCCTCGGCCCGAGACATCGTCTGTTGCCTGCTTCCCCTTGGGAGATAGCACGGAAAGCGCCTCGGTTTTGAAAGTCGTCCCCTCAGCCCGAGACATGGTCTGTTGCCTGCTTCCCCTTGGGGGATAGCGCGGGGAGCGTTTCGTTTGTGGAAGTCGAATCCTGGGCCCGGGACATGGTCCGTTGCCTGCCTCCCCTTGGGGGATGGCGCGGAAAGCGTTCTTGGGAAGGGTTTTATTTGTGTGTGGAACACAAATAGTCGGGGGCACTTGGTACCAGCCGGAGCCGAGGGGTGTTGCACCCCCAGGGAGCGGACCTTGGCGTCGATGTAGCCTTCGACTTGTCTCCTATAGTTTTCGGCCCTGAGGAAAGCCTGCTCTCGGCGCTCTGAGATGAGATGAAGGTCGAGGGCCATGTTGGCGTCGTTGACTTCGGGTTCATATTGTTCAACCCTTCGGGTGGGAAGAGTCACTTCTGTTGGAGCCTTAGCCTCAAAGCCATAGCATAGGGAGAAGGGGGTTTCGCCTGTTGCGCGCCGAGGGGTGGTGCGGTAGGCCCATAAGATGTTGTGGAGTTCTTCTACCCAGCCTCCCCATTCGGCTTCCAGCTTCTTCTTCAACCCTTCGAGGAGAGTGCGGTTGGCATTCTCTACTTGCCCGCTGCCCTGAGGGTAGGCGACGGAAGAGAATGTGTGCTTGATGCCCCAAGCCTCAAGGAGGGCACAGAAGGGGGCTGCCTCGAATTGAGTCCCGTTGTCGGAGATGATTTGTTGAGGGACGCCAAACCTTGTGAGGATATTTTTGAGAACAAAGTGGCGGCACCGGGCCTCAGTGATGCTGGCGAGGGGTTCGGCCTCCACCCATTTGGTGAAGTAGTCAATGGCAACGATGATGTACCTGTTGTTGGAGGTACCCCTCGGTAGAGGGCCTACTAAGTCAATCCCCCATCTGGAGAAGGGTATGGCGGTGCTGATGGGGGCATAGTTGACCGCAGGTCTGCCGGGGGCCTTCTGGAAGTGTTGGCAAGCGGTGCACCTTCGGGCTAGATCAGCACAATCCCTAGCCATCGTGGGCCAGAAGTAGCCTTGAACTATGAGCCTTCGGGACATGGAGAAGGGTCCCTGATGAGCTGAGCAAGTGCCACTGTGCACTTCCTCCATAGCGACCTCGGCTTCATCCTGATGAAAGCACCGAAGGAGGGTGCCGTTGTAAGACCTCTTGTAAAGCTTCCCGTTTTCGAGGGTGTAGCTAGGAGCCCTCAGTTTTGTCAACCTTGCGCGGCCCTCATCCTGGGGCAGTTGCCCGGTGGTGATGAAGGTGATGATGTCGGAGATCCAATCCTCCGGCCTTAGGTTGATGTTCATGACGGGGCTCGCGTGGATGCTTGAGAGATTGAGTTCCTCAATTCTTGCAATTTTTGAGAGGTGCTCGGGGGATTCATCCGAGAGCTTGGATAGAATGTCGGCCTCGGAGTTTTGAGCCCTCGGTATTTGGGTGAGAGAATGGGCCTCAAATACCTTAAGCAACTCCTTAGCTGCTTCCTTGTATTGTTTCATCCTCCCTTCCTTGGCCTCATACTCCCCGGAAATTTGACCCACGACGAGTTTGGAGTCACACTTGACGTGGATCATTTTCGCTTTCAGATTTGCTGCCAGCCGAAGGCCGCAGAGGAGGGCTTCGTACTCGGCCTCGTTGTTCGAAACTTTGAAGGAGAAGCGGACGGCGTAATAGGCGCGGAAGCCCTCGGGTGTGATCAGAACTACTCCCCCTCCGCATGCTTTGGTGGCTGAGGAGCCATCGGTGTAGAGGGTCCACCATTCGTCAAGGGGTGCCGAAGGCTCCTCATCTATCGCCGATCTTGCGGTGCATTCCGTTACGAAGTCTGCCAGGGCTTGGCCCTTAATGGCAGGCCTCGGACGGATATCTATGTTGTATTGACTGAGGAAGATGGCCCATTTCACCATCCGAGAGGAGCTAGTGGGACTCCTCATGAGGGCGCCGAGGGGTTGATGAGTTAGCACTTGGACCGGATGAGCTTGAAAGTAGTGGCCAAGCTTCTTGACGGTCCAAACGATGGCTAGCACCGTCTTCTCGACGGGAGAATACCTGAGTTCGGCCTCCCGGAGGGTTTTGCTGACGTAGAAGATGGCATGTTGGACGCCGTCTTCTTCTCGGATTAGTACTGAACTGATGGCCGCAGGGCTAACTCCGAGATACAAGTATAAAGTCTCCCCCACCTTTGGTTTGGAGAGCACTGGGGGAGAGGAGAGGTACTTCTTGAGTTCGTCGAAGGCCTCTTGACATTCAGATGTCCATTGAAAACCCGCCGTCTTCCTCATGATTTGGAAGAAGGGGAGGGCCCTCTCGGCTGACTTAGAGAGGAATCGGTTGAGGGCCGCCAGGCGACCCGTCAACCGTTGAACTTCTTTGACGTTGCGTGGGGGCTCCATGTTGATGATGGCCTGAATCTTCTCGGGGTTGGCCTCAATACCCCTTCGGCTGACCATGTAGCCCAAGAACTTTCCTCCCTGCACGCCGAAGGTGCACTTCTTTGGATTCAGTCGGAGGTTGAATTTTTGCATGATGGCGAAGATTTCCTGGAGGTCCTCGGCGTGAGCGCCGGCCTTCTTGCTTTTGACAATCATATCGTCAACATAGGCCTCCATAGTGCGCCCCAAGACGGCTTGAAAGACTCTGGCCACCATTCGGGTGTAGGTGGCGCCTGAATTCTTGAGGCCGAAGGCCATCACAAGATAACAGAAGATGCCTTCGGGTGTCATGAAGACAGTTTTTTCAGCGTCTTCCTCATGCATGTAGATTTGATGATATCCGCGGAATGCGTCGAGGAATGGCATAATCTCGCATCGCGCGGTCTCATCCACAAGTTGATCCATGTTCGGCAGAGGGAAGGGGTCCATAGGGCACGCCTTATTCAGATCTGTGTAGTCCACGCACATGCGGAAGGTAGGAGGTTTTTGTGCGAGGACTACATTAGCCAACCAAGAAGGGTATTTCACCTCCTTAATGTGTTTGATGGAGAGGAGCATAGATACCTCCTTCTTCACGAAATCCCTTCTCTCGGCCGAGAGGGGTCTTCTTCGTTGCTGCACTGGTTTGGCCGAAGGGTCCACCGCTAGGCGGTGGGTGATAACCCTTCGGTCAATTCCTGGCATGTCCTCCGGCCCCCATGCAAAAATAATGGAGTAGGCGCGGAGGGCTTCGGTGATGCCAGTCTTCAGGTCTTCGGGGAGCTTGGCTCCAATCTTCAGGACTCTCTCCGGCTTGGCCGGATCGAGTATCAAGTCTTCGGTCTCCTCGGCAGGCTCAGCCCTCGGCCTACCTTCTTCCTCCTCCAAGGCCTTGGTGGTGATGGTGTCCACATGTAACTCTGTTTTACTAACCTTCTTGGTAAGTTGAAGGTAGCAGGCCCTGGAGAGTTTTTGATTCCCCCTCGAATAGCCGATGCCGGTGGGTGTGGGGAATTTGAGGCAGAGGTGTCTCATGGAGATGACGGCTTCTAAGTCCTCGAGGGCAGGCCGGCCGAGGATGATGTTGTGTGCGCAGTCGAGGTTGACGACGACGAATTCCACATCGAGCTTGGCTCTATGGGATCCATCGCCGAATTCGACCATGAGGGTGATGACGCCTTCGGTGTCTATGCTATCCCCCGTGAATCCGGAGAGGGGGGTGTTGATGCGCCGAAGGGACCCCCTGTCGAGTCTCAATTCTTGGAAAGTGCTGAGATACATGGCGTTGACAGAACTCCCCGTGTCAACATAAGTCCGGAGGATGATGGCGTCATTGATCTCAGTGCGGATGACGAGGGCATCTCTATGCGGCAGAGAACCCGAGGGTAGGTCCGCATCTGTGAAGAAGATTGGATCCGCCCTCGGCCTTTTAGTTGGGGGTATGTGATTGACTTCCCCAATGTAAAGGGACTGTGCCCATTTCTTCCTTTGGCTTGTTGAATCGCCTCCGGTGTTGCCGCCGTTGATCATGTGGATGTGGCGCTTGTATTGCTGATGGGAGCCCTCTCCCTCGTCATCGAGGCCCCCAATTTCGCGCTTCTTCCCCTGTGGGTTTCCCAAGGGGATGGTGTTGGGGTTTACCCATTTGTTTGCCTTCGGCGGAGGCCCTTGATGATGAGGGGGGCCCTGGGGAGGAGGGCCCCTGATAAATTGAGACAAGTGGCCCGCCTGTATCAGCCTCTCGATGGCGTTCTTCAGCTGATGGCAGTCGTCGGTTTTGTGTCCATGGTGGCGGTGAAAACGGCAATATGGCTCATCAGGGCCGATAGCATAAATCTCGAGGGGTGTACGGGAGTCTCGCTCAACGAGCCCCCGCTCTTCTGCATGATCCAGAATGACGCTGACGGGGTGCGTCAGGGGAGTGCGTGGGTGCTCCAGGAGGACGGGTTGCGCCCATGCCTTTGGATTGCTCTTGTAACCGCCCCCGGATCTGGCTTGGCCACCTCGGGAGCGATCATTGTAATGGGGCTCTCGGTTGGCCGGAGGGGGAGGCCCTCCGGGCCGATTCCTGCCCTCATTCTTCTGAGAAGGATCCGTGTTGCGGCGGTCCTTCTCGATTTCCTCTGCTTCAGCATAACGGTCCCCCCGCTGAAGGGCCTTCGTATAATCGCGGGGGGGATCAGTGATAAGGCTCCGACAGAAGTTACCGTTGCGGAGGACGGTGTGGAAGAGGGCCATCAAGGTTCTGTCATCAGCACCCTCGACCTCGAGGGAGGCCTGCCTCCAGCGTTCTAGGAAACTCCGAAGGGTTTCCTCCTTCTGTTGCCTCACGTTTAGAAGGTGGGAGAAGTGCTTCTTTGAGCGATGCCTCCCAGCAAATTGCGTGAGGAAACGGTGGGCAAGTTCTTGCCAAGAATCGATGCTGCCTTCGGGCAATCGGTTGAACCACTCATACGCGGGTCCCTCCAAGGTGGAAAGGAACCAACGGCATAAGTATTCATCCGAGGCCCCCATCATCATCATGCTGTTTTGATAGCGGTTGTAGTGTTCTTGGGGATCCGTCTTCCCCTCATACGGTTTGATGGGTTGCCCCCGATATTTATGGGGGATCTTGGCCGCCAGCACTCTTGGGGTGAAGGGCGTCCTAGTGCGGAGTTGAATGAGGGGTTCGCCTGAGCCTTCGGCGAGTTTTCGTTTCATTTCCTCCACCTGCGCCCGGAGGTCAGCGTACTCCGGATCTGGCCTAGCTGTGGAAGCCGTCGGCGGTGCCTGACGATTCTCCTCAAGTTGGCGGAGGAGGGCTTCAATGATTTCGTCCTTGGGATCCTTCGGGGCAACCCCTTGGGAGTTGGCCCGGAAGGATTGCGCCTGTGTGATTTGGTGCCTGGCATCATTGGCATGGAGGAGGGCTTTGCCTTTGCTTCGGGGGGGAGGCACGCCCTCGGCCCCCGAAGCGGAGGCTCCACTCTCCTGGGGCCTGCTGATTTCCTGTCTGCCGAGACGGTCTTGGACCCCTCGGCGTCCGGGAGCTCCCCCAAGCCTCTCAAGTGCAGAGGTTCGGGGCTTCTCCTTCATCATGGGGCGCTTGTCCCTGGATTGGGCCTCCTGGGAGGCGGTATCCTGTGCTATGATCCCCTCGGCATTGCCAACCCCCGGGGGAGGGTTGTTGAACAAGGGAGGGAGTGGTGGTAGGTTGATAACATTTCCCCCAGCATAGGGCTGAAGGGGTGCCTGAGAGGCGAGGGCTCCGGAATTGAGAGCCATGTTTTGAACAAAGGCCGCAAAGGCAGCCTGAAGATCGATGGCCGAGGCCGGAGGAGGAACTTGGTTCTCACTCCGATCCCTCCTTCGATTATCAAGGCCAATGCGGGCATCAGGGGTGTTCTTCTGCAGCTGCTGACGTAGGTCAGCGGTGGCTTGCTCTAATTCGAGGATGATACCACCCTCGGGTACTAAGAGCCTGTTGGAGGCCTCAGCCCCGTTTGTCTCGCCGGGGGCTACGTGGTTCTCCTCTAGGGTTTTGGACTGGGCACGGGTGGTTATTCCCATTTTTGGTGAGTGTTTTGTGTTTGGTAGAGGGGGAGGGTTTCTTACTTGATAGTTCAGACCTCTCAATGAGAGCACCAAATGATGGATAGTCTACCCGGGGGGTATCTTATCCGAGGGGTTATTACGGGAATAACTTAGAGAGAAGTCAGAGCAAATAGGAGGAGAGAGAGTCAATTTATTAAATGAACTCGAGATGTGGAGTTGAGATGTAGATGATCATTTACAAGGAGAAATGGGCTGCTATTTATAGCAGCAATAAATGCGATGAGAGGACACGTGTCAGTAATCCAACGGCCGAAGGGTCACATCAGCCTGGTGGCACCGGCAGTGGTACGTCAACCGCATTGAATGCGGTTGGCGGATGTGATGTGGCATTAAATGCGGTGGTTGGCTGTCCCTAAAAGGAATCTTCGATGATTGAGCTAGTTTAGCCGAGGGCTCCTTATGTAGCCGAGGGCTCCTTGTGTAGCCGAGGGCTCTTTGTGTAGCCGAGGGCTCCTTGCGGCAAGGACCATTGTGTGGCCGAAGGCCCCATGTGGCCGAAGGCTTGGTTCAGCCGAAGGCTTCTCCGATGCCGAGGGCGCAACAATGCCGAAGGCTCATGTTTTCGCCCGTTTTCTCCCAGCAGCTTCTTATGCCAAAAAGGCTATCCTGTGAGTTCTAGAGCCTTCGGCCAAGGAGGCCGAAGGCATCCCAGTGTGTACTCTGAGCTACTTTGAGGCTTGGGCCGTTGTATTTGGGCCTGAGTTGTTTCCTGGGTAGGAGAAGTAGGAGTCTATGGGCCGGGGGTTCCTGGACCATATACTCCATCAAGTATTATGTTAATAAAAGATTATAAAATTCTTAAAATCTGATAGCTTTAATACTTTTTGGTGTCAACTGTCAAGAATTCTTAAATTTTGTCAAGAATTTAATTAATCAATACTAAAATTTTACTCCCTCCGTCTCATTTATATTGTCCCGTTTTACTTTTTTGGGAACTCTCACTAAAGTTGTCTCATACCATATTTGACAAAGTTTGTGTGGTTCTAAATCATTCTTACTTTATTCTTACTTTATCAATTAATATCAATCACACAAACTCACTTTTCTTAATAATTGTGTCACCCCCTTCCGTCCCAATATAAAAGGGACGGAGGTAGTATAAAAAAAGGATACAACTCATTCTTGACTCATTCTTGAGTACCCCAACACTAATTAATTTCAAAAGTAGGGTTACTCAATATAAGTAGCTCAGGGTATATTTACGGCATGATCGAGCAGCCGGGTATAAAAATTCTAAAAAAATCTTATGTTTGACATGACAATTTTTAAGAGTTTTTCAAAAAATAAAAGATTTTTTTGAGATGCTACATGGAGTAACATCTGTGAAAAGCCTGTGACTTTTAGTATCAATTAGTCCTATCGGCTTGTATATCAAACAGAACTAAATCAAACAGTCAGTTTTTTACCAAACAGCTATCACCTTTTCCTTTTGACATCTTTTAAATCACTAAAAACTAACAGTTACTAAAAAGCTCACAAAATATCTTTTTAGATACTTGTGTTAAACATAGTGGTAGAGGCCATAAGGACGTGATTGCTCTTTCCCTAAATAATTTTGAGTGCCCTTTTTTTCAATTTTACCCTTTGTTTGGAAGAGAATTTTATCTGTAGCAATTTTGCTAAAAATAATAATAATTATGTATTTTTCATCCGTTGGTAATTATTATTATGCCCATTATGGTAATTATTTTGTACTGCATTATATTGGACAACCTAAATAATAATTAATAAATATTCAAGGTATAATTAATATCAGCCACTATATATGGTAGTATTATCATATTAATATCATCCGTTGGTAGTATTAATATTCTTCTCAGTTAGCATCATAGTGAGTCCTACTTGTCAAATATATCTCACCTTATTAAATTCAATATAAGGCAGTTTTTGTTATAGTAGTACGTCCAAAGCCTAGATTCATATATAATTTACCAATTATGCCCTTTAAATGGGCGGGAATTTTACCTCCAAAAATTGTAGCAACTTTGCTACTTTATATTATATAAAGATAAGAAGATAAACTTTCTAACAATTGAGCAGTATAATTTTCCCTCTCATATATAGTTCTTTTAAGTATGATAATCCGGCTAACAATTGAGCGAGAGAATTTTATCTTTCATATGTAATGTTTTTAGGTATAAAAAGATAAGTCAGAGAACTTATGCGTAAGAGAATTTTCTCTCTCATATGCTTTAATAATTGCTTATACTCCGTATACTTTATGGTATTAGATCATTGTACTCTTATTTTTCGAAAATGTGGATTTATTTTATTTTAAAATTTAATTATATACTACGTAATGATTAAATATATACGAAGTATGTACCGATTGCTCTTTGATAGAAAAGCCAAAATAAACGTCGACCACATGTTATCAATCTTACCATGCTGGTGGCGGCACAACCCTCGTCCCTGCCACAACTCCAACTCGCTTCGAGCAGTAGCATCATCTGCAATTCATTTACACCATCTCCTCTACACCCACGTCGGCTCTACATATTTCGCCGGCGGATTGCTAGACCTTCGAAATCCTCCAATGGGATCGCCTTCGAGGTTAAGTCGTACATGGACGACAGCAACTCCGTCTCCGGCTTGGTTAAGAAAGTTGTCGGTTCGCTTCCTGTCATCGGACTCATCGTCAGAATCGCCAGCGGAGAGGGCGGCGTAGGCGGTGATTTAATCGATTTTGCCGAGTTCAGAAGGAGAGTGGGGAAGAAATGCTCGGTCAGTGATTCCATAGCTTTCTACGACTTTCAGGATCGGAGAGGCCGGGTAATCTTCCTTTCCTTACCGCCCGAAATCATGAATTGCGCCGTTCTGTTGAATATCAGCTTTAAAAATACTTTGTGTGGTAGGCAGGGGATCCGTTGTATTTTCTATTATGCTGCTGGTTAGCTGCGGTTGGTGCTGGTCTGCTAAAATCCGAGGAGATATTAGTAGGTGCTGCGAGGCTTCGTTTATCGAACGATATTGAGTTCGAGGAGCAAACTTTTATGGCTATGATGAGCGAAGCCAAAGAGGTCAGTCTGTCTAGGCTTTATTAATTGATCTATACCCTTGTTTGGTTAATTGTTTAATTGGTTGAATGGCCTTGGCAGTGGCGGAGCCAGAGATTTTTCTAAGGATGGGCGTACTAAAGGTTAAAAATTTTGTGTATTTGCACAAAATATAATAAAAACTATAAAAGCGTAATACATTAGCACAAATTTGTTCAAAATGTTGTAAAATAACTTTATGTTGGAAAAACACGGCCCCCAGACTTTTCCAGGATCACAAGCTCATAGACTCTTGTACACTTATATATACACACACTCATAATACAAAGACTCATCTGACAATATCACTTGTATTATTATCAATCACTTTTTGTATATGAGACTACTTCACTTTACCAAACTTAATCAAGCGAAATCTTTGAACCTTCTTCTCTCACAAGAAGGCTCTCACTCTCCTCTTTCAAGGAGACTCACTTTCACTCACTCAAAAGCTCTTCTCAAAGTTCTCATATAAATGGGAAGCTTCTCTATACTAATCTCATCAAAGTTTCTCTAGAATTTTTTATACACCACTACATATCTAGGTTTTTCCAAAAAGTATTCACAAATTTGTCTTATCTTCTAGAAGGATTTAGAAAACCCCACAATTCTTCAAAATGTTATAGAGGCTTCCACACGATTTTAGTGAGTTCCACACTTCTCTAGAAAACTCCACAATATTATTCTAAAACATTCAATACCTCTCTGCACACATATATAGAAACTTGGACATCTCTAAAAATTCTAAAACTATCATGAATTTCTCCACTAAGGAGGGAATCCAACAAAGTCTCAAGAATGTTTTGATATCTTTGTTACAAGAATTGTGACAACATATTCGTCAAAATCAACACTTTCTTGCTCACTATAACCACGAAAAGCCAACTCATGTGTCATTAAATGTCTAAAACAATCCACATTTGCATTCAAGTGACTGTGGTATGTTGCAACCAATACTTGTATTCCTAGAGACACGTACATTTACTGAAAGACTTTGCCTTTTATTTTAACACTTAATCTAAAATTATCCTTAATTGATATTTATTTTGAAAAAAAAGGAGGGGCATTAAATATATTATAACTAATAGTACTAAAAACAATTGCCCGAAGCGGGGGCGCTTGCCCTCTCATGCCCCTCCCTAGCTCCTCCAGTGGGCCTTGGGATGGTGGAAAGTGAAGTGCTGTTGTGCATTTGGTTGGGACTTGGGAGAGTAATGCTTATGTTTGAAGCCATTAGAAGGTAAAGGGACACTAAAATGCCAAGGAAAATGTTTTGTATTCATCATTGTATGTTAGAAAGTACTAGTTCAATCAAAACATATAGGTTTTGCACACCTAGTTAATTTCTTGTTTTCTATATAGAGTCGAATGTAACAAGTGAGATGAGTTTGGATCAATATCTAAAATTGATTTGTTGAGTTAAAAACTCTCCCAGAATTCCTTTACTTCCAGATTTCTTTCCCTAGTATTTTCCAGATTTCAATATCCTAACCTGCCCGCCTAAGGGAAAGATCCACGCAAACTCCTCCAGTTTGAGTATTTTGGGGGAGTTGCATTTACCAGGTTCCAAAATCCAAATGGACCTATAGGTAAACACAGATACATCCAAACTCCTCCAATTTGACATAAAGCTCATTATACTTCCAATTACATAAATTAATCAAATTCTTGCCTACAATGAAGTATGAACTATGTTTAAGTAATCATAAAGTTTATTCTATATTAACAAAATTAAATTAGTTCCTTCAAAAAAAAATTAAATTAGTATAAATGTTTCAAATACTGTATTAAAAATTCTATTGATGAGCAAAAGTAGAATTCAATTTTGACAAAGAATCGAATTTGATTTTTTTTTTTAAAATGAAATCCAAAAGCAGAGAAGAATAAGTTATGTTTACCACATGAATAGCAACTGACAGTTGAGTGGGATGATGGGAGTGATATTTATATACTATCGTACTATGTATTTTATACTCCGTAAAATACTCCACAAAGTTTTTTATCCCTCACATATCTTCCCCTCTTTTTAACCAAATAAAGACTAATCAAGACATACTAAGACATTGCATTGGGTGATCAAATTTCAGAAACGGGCAAAAGCAAAAGCTCCTAAGCCAAGCATACCTATGGAAATCAGAGTTGAGAAAGCAGTTGATGCGATTTATGTGTGTTGCTTCGGGAGGGGTGAGATAGAAGAAGAAGAACAGAGGCTGTTATGTGTCATGCTTGGGGTCGTCTTTCCTACAGTTGGGAAGCAGGAGGTAGAGAGGATTGTGAAATCGAAGGCAACTCAAATAGCAAAAAGCACGGAGGAAGGACAAGTTCCTGTGCCGAAGTCCCTATCAAAAGAAGCTGTGCTGATGCAATTGAAGGATTTGGAATTTCTCAAGCAACAAGGCAATTGACCTGGAAAGGTAAGAACACTGGGACACAAAGGCATTCTGAGCTAAAGATGAAAGGAACACTGATCTACCCGTACTGCTTGTAGCAAGAATTCAAAAGAGACTCGTAGACACAGTTTTTTGTATAAAGCCGAATGTAATGTTGTGTTGATGGATAAAATGATATTATTTCCATCCAGACTTTAAAAATGTGAAATCTTTAGGCAACATTTATAAACCTGAATTGAATGTAATACTCCGGTATTATACTCAAATACTCCCTGCATCCCCCACAATGATGGGTTATATATGTTAGAAGTTTGATCAAGGATGTTTTCTTTTGGACGCTTTTCAGTCCCTCGGAAGTTGGATCAGGCTAGTCCTGGACTCGGGCCGGTTCGGGCCCGGCCGGGCCTCGGGCCAGGAAATGGGAGGCCCGGGCCCGAACCGCCGGTGGCCGGTTCCGGTCCCGGTTCTGGGCCAAACCGGGCCGGGCCGGGCCGGGCCGGGCCGAACCGACCCACTTAATTTTTTTTTTTGTTCTCCTATTTAATCCCCTACCCCTCCCCCTCAACCCCAAACCACCCCAAACCACCTCAAATGGCCCAAAATACCTATTCCAACCCAAAACTTTAAAAAAATTTCAAAAAAAAAAAAAATTAAAATCCGGCCCGGACCGGGCCCGAACTGGCCCGGACCGGGCCCGAACCGGCCGGGCCGGTTCACCATTTGGAAGGCCCGGGCCCGGAACCGGGAACCACCGGGCCGGTTCGACCCGAACCGCCGGTGGACCGGGCCACCGGGCCGGGCCGGTTGCTACAGTGGCCGGGCCGGGCCGGTTCCGGGTCGGGCCGCCCGGCCCGAGTCCAGGCCTAGATCAGGCCAGACCAACAAATTTCAATCCAAAAAAAACATTCTAATATACTTTTATATAAATTGATTTATAACATGAAGGCAATATAGAGAGTAATAACAATGACAATAATCTAGTCAATGGAAAAATTTAGAATTTCCATTAATACTATTTAAAAAGTTGTCAGAATTGAACTGACTAAAAAGATCGAAAATGCCTGTGTGCGACGGAATGAGTATATTATTATTAGTGTAAATTGCATTGCACATGGATATGATTACACTATTAGTGTTTCATTCATGGCCCAAGTCCGATTCTAGATCGATTCCAAACTGGATTTGCAAGTGTTATAAACAGGCGATCAAATCAGAACCGGTTAGGCAATCATACATTGGAGGAATTAGAAACATCAGCATAGGATCTGGTACCGGTCTCGATTTCATTTCTGGTTTTGAGAGAAAAGCCGAATGCCACTAATGGTCCTGACCGGGTTTCAAATCGGGATTTGAGCATGGCCAAACTCAATGGTCTGTGGAGACCCATTACTTCATTTTTCGTACAATACATTTACTTTTTTTTAAAAGGCACAGCTAAAGAGGCACTTAAAAGATTGATACTAGAGAAAACCACCGACAAAGGCATAAATCTAAGTCGATAACAAACAAGTTCAAACTTATACTACTATTGTACCCGTGCGATGCACGGGACAAAAGTATTTTTGTGTTTTATTCATCATACATACCTAATGAGATATTAATGCAAGATATATTTATTCAAATAAAACGAATCCGTAAGTTCTAATTTCTCACGCCAAATTATGTAGTACTTTGTAATTAAAATAAGTAGTGTTGAATTTTCTATTCTCGCTGAAATTCCTGAATAACTACTCTGTATTTTAACTTCTTCATATGTATTTTTTAATCTTTTAACAAAATATATTATGTATATAGTTTTAACAATTCAACATTTTTGGCCAATTCAACCGTTTCAGCCAGAATTTCACTAATTTCAATATTTCAACCAACTCAACCAATTTTTCAACGAAATTTATTGTTATCAAACTCACTCTATTTTTTAAAATATAGTAGTATTTACTTTCTAAGCATAATAACATCATTATTTGTCAATTCAATTAATTTTGACCCATGTAAATTTGAACCCATATTGTCGCTCCATAAATTGCAACAACCCTAGCTGTCTATGTATATTTTCATGAGCTTGCTACACATCAGATATATTCTTTCTTCTCTTCTCGGAGTGACCTTCTCTCATCTCTACCTCCATCACCCCTCTCTCTGCATATTCTTCTAGTGTCCGTTTTCAAAGTGTTTGGAGGTGGATTGAAAACCGTTTTCAAAGTGTTTGGAGGTGGATTGAAAAGAGAAGGCCCAATTGGATAAAAAATAAATAAACTATTGAAATACTTCGTATATAAGTAAGTTAACATCTCAATTTTAATTTTGAAGATAATCAATCACAAATTCACTTGTTTTCATTAACATGACATCAACACTTTAAATTCGATCAACAATTGTATTAATAAAAAATGATCAATAATGGTTTTTATATGAACTAAATTAATTGAACATACCTAGAATGTTTCCCGGGGAATTGCTGAATGGAAACTGTATCTGATGTGTGTCGCACCCATATGTTGTACTGATTACTGAGTAATAATTTTCAGCAATATGCGACATAGGTTTTTGAGTTTTTCTATTACAGGCACCAGTATTGACCCGTGCGAGGCACCAGTAAGGAACCGGTACAATGCAGATCTTATTCTGGTTCCCTAATTTTAGAATCGCGAACCGGTTGTTTGACTTCAATTTAGTTCAAAACTGGGAGCATCCTTGATATAACTACATAGTGTGGGTCCATAACAAAATGATGAGATCTTATTACGTATGGAGTATTAAATAAAAATTGATATTGGAAAATGAATGTCCGATGCATCAAAAAAACATGCACTCAAATTTCGAAAAGTAAGTAGATAAATAAATTTCAAAGATCCATTTCTTATTGCACGTGTTGAAATAGTGATAATGTGATCCCACTCAAAAACTCATCATTGCATGAGAGAGACTGAAACATAAACAAATGGTTAGTAATACTCCGTACTAAATTACTAACCTATAGTTACAAAAAACTAAATTACTAACCTATAATTACAAACATACCTTGGTTGGACACATGGACATAGATCATCATACAAATCCATAAAATAACTCAGTTGCGCAGAAACGGTTGATGTCAGACGGTCGAATTAATTGTTGGAATTCTTTCGTGTTCAAGTAAATAGCTTCTTCTTAGTTCTTAGACTTCGATATCTTGAACGCAAACTTAAGAAATCTAGGAAAATTGTATTCAAGCAAATAGCGATACGATGTGATCGGTTTTCATTCGTGTGTTCTGGCTTTTACTTGTGCCGTATATATGTACGGTACTCTTCTCATCAGGCCGGCCTGACGGGCTGCCCCGTCCGGCCGAGCCCGTTTGGGCACCTTCCCGGTGGAATTTTTTGATGAAATTTTTTGAGCATGTTCCTCATCAAGTCTAGTTTGTCCATACCAAATTTCAGCTCAAAATTCGATCGGGAAGGTCGTCAAATGATTTTTGCAAGTTAACTGGTCCGGAAAATACATATTCCGGACCAGTTAACTTGCAAAAATCATTTGACGACCTTCCCGATCGAATTTTGAGCTGAAATTTGGTATGGACAAACTAGACTTGATGAGGAACATGCTCAAAAAATTTCATCAAAAAATTCCACCGGGAAGGTGCCCAAACGGGCTCGGCCGGACGGGGCAGCCCGTCAGGCCGGCCTGATGAGATGATTTCTCTATATGTACTTATTACAACTGTCGTATATATGTACTTATTATGCGGGAGTAGTTTTGTTCTGGTTTCCCTTTTTATATTAGTATAGATACTCCATATATGATCAACTCAACAAAATCCCATTATAGAGAATATGTCAAGTCTTAGATGGAGATGTATCCCATAGAATCAGAACAGGGTGGATGAAGTGGAAGAGTGCATCAGGATTTCTATGCGATCGAGGTATGCCGACTAGACTGAAGGGTAAATTTTATAAGACAGCAATTGGGCCGGCATTATTGTATGGCACGGAGTGTTGGGCGGTGAAACAATGTCACATTCAAAAGATGAGTGTGGCAGAGATGCGCATGCTGCGTTGGATATGTGGGCATACTAGAAAGGACCGCGTGAGGAATGAGACAATTAGACAAAGGGTGGGAGTAGCACCTATTGAAGATAAGATGCGGGAGTCACGCCTACGGTGGTTTGGTCATGTGCATAGAAGACCGAGTGATGCACCTGTCAGACGAGTTGAGATGTGTGGAGAAGAGGTAGGGAAGAGAGGGAGAGGAAGGCCCAAACAGACGTGGGTTAGGGGAGTCAGAAGTGATATGCTTCTTCTTGGATTGGATGAGGGTATGGCTTTGGAGAGAGCAAAATGGAGGGCGGGTATTCGTGTTGAGGAGTGATCTTGTATCATCTTTTTTTTCTTCTTCTTCTTCTTTTTTTTTTCTTTTCTTTTATATCTTTATCCTTATATATAAATATTACCTTATCCTTTTTATTTGATCTTTTATATGTATATTCATCTCTTTTATATTATCTTTTTTTTTATAATAGCTTATCTTTTTTATCTTTAGTTTCTTTCTTTTCCTTTTGGTGATAATGTGATATCATATATCGATTCATGTTAGCCGACCTCAATATCATTTGGGACTAAGGCTTGGATGTTGTTGTTGTTGTTGTCAAGTCTTACCTTGCCCAATGTTTTTAAGGACAATATTTGAAGATCATTGTCCAAGAACCGTGGTGGACAGGACCAATCTTTGCCCTACTATTATGGAATGGCCAATTTACGGTCCTTGAATGGGTTAAAGCTGAATCACAGGTCAATTCATGTGCATTGCTGGGTTGTTCGAGACCTGTTTTTAGTCTATTTTATAGAATGATACTAGTTTTGTACCCGGGTAAAACTTCCATATGAAATTTTAATTTATAAACTATATAATGTCTATATAGTACTCCCTCCGTCCCGCTATGATTGTCCCATTTTATCTTTTCAGTCTGTCCCACTAAGATTGTTTCATACCTTATTTGATAAAATTTGTATGGTTCTAAATCATTCTTACTTTATTCTTACTTTATCAATTCAATATCAACCACATAAACTCACTTTTATTAATAAACGTGTCACCTTCTTTTGTCCCAAACTTAAAGGGGCGGAGGTAGTATGAGTTTTCTAATTTCCATTCACAAAAGCATTGAATTGTTTATCAACAGTATAATAACAAAGAACATAGAATATCCTAGAATATATAACTCCTCAAAATGGCTAAGAGATACTTCGTATTAAGTAACTGAAAAACTAACTGAAAAACTTCATTTCTAAATTTTGGAAAATGTCATTGTAGATAACATTATGGTGTTGGTGGAAAATCATCGATCTTTAGAAT